AGGAAGAGGGATGTGTGTGTGCGTGAGTGTGTACTCCCCTCACTGACCCGCCTGAGCGTCGACGTGCGTCTCGTTGTGCACTTTGGACATGTGCAGGATGAGGTTGGACTTGTTGGAGTATCTCTGGCCGCAGTGGCAGCTGTACGGCTTCTCGCGCGTATGTTTCCGCATGTGCTTGTCCAGGCCCGACTTCCAGAGGAAGGCCTTTCCGCACTCGAGGCAGGCGAAGGGCTGGTCCGTGCTGTGGATGCGCCGCACGTGGATGGTGAGCTGCGACTTGACCGTGAACGCCTTGTGGCAGTGCTCGCACTTGAAGGGCTTGGTGCCCAGGTGCGTGCGGTAGTGCGCGTCCAGTTTCCCGCGCTCCACGAAGGATTTCGAGCACATCGGGCACGAGTGCGGCTTCTGCTCCAGGTGGCTCAGCATGTGCCGCTGCAGCTTCCACTTGGTGAAGAAGGATTTGTCGCAGACGTCGCACTGGAAGGGGCGGTCCTCCAGGTGGTTCGACTTGTAGTGGAGCTCCAGCTTGGCCGAGTCGCCGAACGATTTGTTGCAGATGTCGCAAGTGTGTGTCTTGCTGCGCTTCTTCTTCTTCTCGGCCGAGCCCGCGATGCTGCCGTCCAGCGACTCGTTCCCCGCCGAGGCGGCACCCCCGCCACCGCCACCCCCGCTGCTCTCCCCGACGTAGACGTGCTGCTGCTGCTGCTGATGATGATGATGCTGATGCACCACCAGCCCGGGCTGACCTTGCGGTTGGTGGCCAATCAGCACAGTCTGTTGTTGTTGTTGTTGTTGTTGTTGCTCAGCCGCGGCAGATATGGTAGCGGTGGCCTCCCCTCCCTCAGGAAGCACGTACTGTTTGAGCAAGTAGTTGTTGACGACCTGGTCGCCTCCCGACGCCCCCGCGGCTAGGTGTGAGCCATACTGCGAGTACTGGTCCAACAACTGGCCGTCCACGACCTCCACGCGACCATCCGCGGGGTTCAGGACGTTGACTGAGGCCGGCGTACCCGGACCCTGGCCCTGGCCCCCGGGCGTAGCGGGGAGGTAGATGGGCGTGGCGGGGGCGGAGAGGGGCGTGGCGGAGCCCTGCATGGGCGTGCCCGGAGTGTGGGAGGGTGTGGTCCCCGCGGTACTCTCCTCTGGCCGGCTCGGGTCGGTCGAGGCCACAGCGGCCTTCTGGTCCTCCAGGATATGCTGGTTGTCGTCGGTGAAGAACTTAATCCGGAAATAGACGGCCAGGTGGTGGTTGTCGGAGCCCTCTGGGCAGGTCTCGCACATGTCGCACGGGTACAGCTCCTCCTCTATGTGCTTCACCCGGTGGATGTCCACGCTGATGCGGTCCGCAAACACTTTGCCGCAAATGTCACACGCCGGCTTAGCCTGCCGCAACTTCTTCTTCTTCCGCGGCCCGGGGAACGCCAGCGGGGGCGGGCTGGCCTGAACCGGGGCGCTGGTCGTCGCCGTGGCAACATCCATGACCGCCCGGGCCGGCTGCGGCTTGCACGGGTGGCTGATGAGCTCTTGCGAAGAGTTGAAGGTCACGGTGCAGTTGTGGCAGGTGAACTCCTTCAGGATGCCGTGCTTCTTCTTCTTGTGCACCTTCATACACTTGAGCACTCGGAACGGCCGGCTACACACATTGCACGTGAATCGTCTGACCTCCCCGTTGGGGTCCGTCTCGTCGAGGTCGCCGCGACCTTCGTACGAGCCTGCCCGCTTGCAGTGGTTCTTGCGGTGGTACTTGAGGTAGCGGCGCGTGGCGAACCCTTTCCCGCACGTCTGGCACACGAAGGTCTTAGGGGGCGGGTGGTTGGCCACGTGCTCGTCCAAACTGGCCTGATCCGGGAACGGATCGTTGCACACGGGGCACATGAACTCTGACATCTCCATCCCCTCCCCAAGCTCTGCGCCGCTCCCATCCTCCTCCTCCTCCTCTCCTTCATCGTCGTCCACCGCTGCGGGATCTAATTCTTCCATCTTCACCTGGCTGCCCCCCTCGCCCCCCGCCGCGTAGGAAGACGACGACGACTGCTGGCCGTCTACATACTCGGCAGATGGCACCACGACGCCGTTGTTGATGTTGTTGTTGTTGTGGGTCACCAGCACGCCGTTGCTGTGGCTGCTGCTGTTGCTGGTGGTGATGATGGTGGTCCCGGCGGGGTCAAAGGCCGCCGAGTAACCGGGCTGTGTGGAGAAGGTCCCATTCTGAACAAACGGCAGTGTGGAGATGTTGTGGTAGGTCGCCGCACCCCCACTACCACTGGAGGTCGCGTTGGCAAACGTTTGACCTTCGACCCCGGGGGGCGCGGCAGACATCATGGCCGGGTTGAGGACGGTGAAGTTCCCTGACACGGCCACCGACTGGTTCTCCGAGGACAGATTGTCCACGGCCACGTAGATGCCATCCTTGCTGTCCACCACCTCCCCCTCCCCCTCGGCCATCTGCGCCGCCTGCTCGTACCGCACCGAGCTACTACCCCCGTCGTCGTCACCCCCGGCAACCGCAGCTGCCTGGGGGGCGTAGGTCAGCGCCTCGTGACTCATCACCGCGGCCTGGCCCCCGTCGGAGGCGAGCGTCTCGCCTGAGCCGTAGAACACCATGTGTGGGTGGCCGGCAGCGAGCATTGTGCTGAAGCCTTGCGGCACCTCGCCGTTGACCCCTAACCCCGCGGCCGGCATGAGAGCCGTGAAGGTTTTGTCCTGACCCTCCCCGCCCCCCACAACCACCGCCGCTCCCCCCGCTCCCTCCACAAAACTGCCGGCGGGCACCAGCTGCACGAACTCCTTGCTCTCGTGGCCGGCGCCCCCGTTGTAGTCCGTGCCGTTCTGCTCCACCGTGCCGCCATTGAGGAAGTTTGCCGCGGGCTCCAGGGGGCGCGACTCGCCGCCGCCCACCACCACTGTCCCCGCCTCCACCACCACGGGCACGCCCTCCTGGAACGATTGGCCGTCGCCGTCCGAAGTCGCGAGAACCTCGGAGGCGTGAGCCGCTTCCACCGAGTTGGGGTAGCTGGCCATGGACTCCGGCTGAGAGCTAGGAACGTTGGTCACCACCACGCCATCGCCAGACGTGACTTTGTTCGGCTGCTGAGCGTAGGGCCCCGACGAGTCCTCGTTGGCCAACCAAAGATCTTCGGAATAATCGATGCTCAGACTCTTCTCCTCTGGGAGACTGTCGCCGTTCTCCGTGGGGTAAGAGTCTTGCGTGTTGTTGCACTCCAACGTTGCCATGGTGACGCTATCCCCCCGAGAGGCGGGGTGGGAACACGCCACGACTGTCTGTATAAAGTCCGGTCACTGTGTGCCGACCGGCGGTCAGAGCCACTCTAGAACAGTCATCACACGACACACGACACACGCAGTATATCAGTCTGTCACACCAGGCATTCTACGCCTGGGTGAAATATAAAAAATACTAGAACTGTTTTATTTTTTAACGCGGGCTTGACAAACACATCTGCTGGACGAAACTCAGAAGCGTGGAGCTGAATTCTTCGTGTGTCGAAGCACACACACAGGAGGCAAAAGCTAACCGCCGTTCTGCATCATTTTCTCCGTTTCAAAGACCCGTAGACACATGTTTGAAGAACAACTGCTGGAACCCTCAACGTTAACTCCAGCATAGCAAATGTTCATCAGAGAGAAAGAGAGAGAAAGAGAGAGCAGGATAACGAACGAATGTCCGCGACCATCCAGGCAGGACCAGACGTGAGATCTGCTGAAGGATCAACCGGATGAGAGACTTGACGCCCCCACACCTTCTCTACAGCCGGCAGTCATTGTTCACCTTGACATTCTGCTGGGGGGTTCCCCACAAGGTCATCTGCGAACGAGAGAGAGAAGTCGTTATAATTCATAAAAGCACCGGAAAAAGTTTCATGGCCTGATCTAATGGACATCTGCGAACGACGAGAGATTAAAACATTTTTTTTAGTAACAGTTTTACGGCACTTGCAACACAATAAGGTCATAGAAGTGCCGAAGATATAAGAGGTGTTACAAGAGTGTAACAAAAACCCAAAAAAAAAAGGAGGAGAGATAAGGACAAGAGCAGTTTGATAGAAAAGAAGGAGCAAACCACACCAGAGCACCCGCCAACCACCCACACACAAGGAGAAAGTCAAGTCGACATAATTCATAACCATTGAAAAAGTTTTACAGCCTTCTTCTTCTTCTCGATCGCATCACACTTGAAGTCTGGTATCTGTCATAAATTGGGCCGTCCTGCTCAGTTCATCTGTCAGCCCGTATAGCTTCTCTTGTAGCGTCAGTGGGGTTGGCCACGTTTCCTGTCTCAGGGCCCTGTGTGTCTTGCAGTGCTGAAGGATGTGTTCAACAGTTTGGTCCGACTCTCCACACTGGCATTTTGGTGACTGTACTAGTTAAAAACATTTTGTACATATGTTGTCTCAGTCTTGTGTGTTGTGTCCTTAGTCTGAAGATAATCACTTGTTCTTGGCGGGACAGCTCATGGTAGCCATCTGGTGTCTGAGGTGCTTTAAATAGTGTATATATTTATAATAGTTTTTATTTCTGTGTAGTTATTTGACAGCCTGATGTAAAGGAATGGCTTGCCTTAAATCAATAATGGTTGGCCCAAAAACAAAATGACTAAAAAACCTTTCAGAGAACATAACGGAGGAAAGAAACTTCTTAGTTTAGTTTTAGTAAGAGTTTTACGGCACTAGTTGCAACACAATAATATGGTCATATAAGTGCCGAAGAGTAGAGGTGTTAGAAGAAAGTTTTTAGTTTTAGTAAAAGTTTTAGGGCACTTGCAACACAATATGGTCATATAAGTGCAGAAAATTAGTATTAGAGGTGTTACTAGAGAGTAACAAACACAAAAAAGGAAGGGTGATAAAGACGACAGATGCTTGAAAGGAAAGAAGGAGCAAACCACACTAGAGCACCGTAGGTAGGCAACATTATAACAGAGAAAAAGGTCGAAGACTATCAAACGTTTTGCGCAAATTCAACCATACACACAAAAAATTAAATGACACAAAACTTGGTCAAAGCCAAAGCCCAAAACAATGGTAAATGGTAAAGCTCATGGGTGCTCAAAGGCACTGGTGTTTCTCCTACACTTGTGGTTTTTTCTTTTTCTTTTTTAGTAGTAGAGGTTTTACGGCGCTCGCAACTGCATACGGTCGTCATATGAGCGCCAAGGGGTGAATGTCAACAGAGAAGTCTTTATAGGGAATCAGACTTACTCTGCTCACCTCTCTAGCCTCAACAGCACAAAGTCTGCTTCGACTATCAAGGCACTCCGGAAATAGCAGGTCACAAGAGAGTGACAAACATACAAAAGAAATAGAGGGATTGTAGAATCAGCCCATTTACAATTAACAATTCTACCGTGCATAAGAACAAATTGGTCACTTTTATTTTTTTTAAGGACAAGTGGGCCAGATTTCGGGGATTTCCAGAAATCTTGACCTACACCAAAAGTGGGCATTGCCCTACATATAGGAGAAGTTTTGTTTCATTGGTGTGAATATTTCTTAGGATAGAGAAAACTCTCCTTGTCTTTTAAAGAATGAACAAGGGGCAAAAATTTTTACCTTCGATTTTCTCAAAACAGCATTTTTCTGGATAGCCCCCTTGTGCTTAAAAGCGACCATATATAGTCCTAATAATTGTTCAAAATATGGCATGCACACTCAAAGCAGTGGATGATGTCAATTTGATAAAAATGGAATGTGTTTGCTGCAAAAGCCATGCTAATCCTACTTCAATTTCATTTCACAAAGTTCAGAACCTGCTATCCCATGCCATTCAGGAAATGGCGAGAAGTGTTTAAGTCTATCTAATTATAATAAATTATAAATTTATTTCTCCTAGATCTCCATCAAATAAATCTGGCTAGCGATACGTTGCAAAGCCAGTTCCAGCTATTAGTTTTTTAGTCTAGTAGAGGGTTTTACGGCGCTCGCAACAGCATAATGTCAAACAGGGAATCAGGCTTACTCTGCTTACACCTCTAGCCTCAACAGCACAAAGTCTGCTTCCACTATCAAGGCACCCCGGAAATACCGGATCACAAGAGTGTGACAAACATACAAAAGAAATAGAGGAAAATGACAATAGTAAGGATTAGGAAAGAAAAAGCAGCAGTTCCCTGATGAAGTTCAGGCACAGTTATTTATGAGCATGCCATTGTTGAATCAGCCCATTTACAATTCTACCATGCATGAACGAGAAATGTCCCCCCTTTGGGAATGGCCTAGACACTTCAGTCAGTGGCACTGCCCCAGGGGGGAGTTCCAGCTATAGTGCGGTCAAAAATTTGTGGTGGAACTTATTATCTTCAAATTATGTTTCTTAAACGGGTGAATCACTGTCACCCATATTTTACACAGCAGTTTGAATCAATTTCTCTGAACATAAATATATTTTTCCACAACAATTGAGGTTAGATTTTTTTTTTTACTTTTCTTCATCGATTAATATATAAAATATACTATAAAAATCTCAGCAACGTGGAAAATGGGATTGTTCACAGCACTTCCTGAGCCTACATCACAACTCACCAATTACACTTTTTGGTGGCAAAACTTGTTACAAAAAAATAATTTTATAGCGTACACATTTTTTGCACTTAACGGTCCTCATACGTTAAATAAGCATATAAAGTCAAAGTCACGATTAGAAAACGATGACAGATTTGTTTAAAATTAAAAGCGATATATTGCCCCAGCTGTGTAAACTTTTTAAAAGCTGTAGAAAAAGCATTGGAAAGCATCGACTTGGATTTTTTTTTGATTTTTTATTAATTTTTAAATTAATTTTCTAGAATACAGTGTACTGGTGCTTGAAAAAATATTCAATTCATTGACAGTAAGACACACAAATTGTTCTAAAAGTTAAAAGCAGAGATGCCAACCATAGAAAACCAAAATGAGTACTGGGAAATTAAATATACATGAAAATGTGTATTTTCAGGGGGGGAAATGTGCCCCACGACCGACAGACCAACTAGTAAAATGTTCAGGGTGTCCAGCAATATTTCCTGAAAAAAATGTACCAGCTCATCAGCTCGAAAAAGGGAGCACACACGCATACAATATACATGTATCCAGTCAACAACATGTCAGGGTTCAGTGTTGTACTGGGGTTTTGTTTGACTTAAGTATTTCAGTCTATTATTATTTTCCTCTCATTACTATATTAAAAATTATTCTTGCTTTGAGCGTTCGGAAGGGTCTAGAACAAGAATTTCGACTATCAAGAACCAGTCTGGGTATCATGATCCATATTATGAACTGACAGACTAAAATTATTGCTAACTTGAATGGCTCAAGTAGACCCATGCGCTGTGAGAGTTGTAACAACTGTGAGAGGGCAAGATGCAGTGACACTGAAAATCTGCCAGTCTTGAACAGAAAGCTACAACATACACTGTAGGTATAATTTACTATCACCCATCCAATGTTTACGCTTCTAACACTTTATACAATAACACAGACTTGCAAAGTAAGAAGGGTCCCGATTCCGCACACAACCTGCACCAACGCGCGCTTTGCAGAAAGCTCTAATCAAAATTCTTAAATTGCTTCCAAGTTTTTGTCCTCTGGTGTTGCCTTCGCCCCCCCCCCCCCCCCCCCCCAAGTGTATCTTTAAAAAAAAATAATTATATAATCCCCTCCCCTATTCCGTAGTCCTATACTTCGCAACGCAGTTACTCCCACCAAAGATGGTCTTTGCTCACACGATGCCACATTTATTTAAGATGCGAATGCGTGCAGGTTCATTGACCGGTCACGATGGTGAGCCAGACAATCTAAAAATCGGACGACGCTTGTATTTTCTTTTCTTTCTTTCCCACACGTGACAGCACAGAGACAAGTCCGAGTGTTGATTAAATTTTATTTGCACGGCAATACAGCGTTTACACTGCACTGCACAACCTGCATTGCACAAATGTTGCGTTATCAGACTACCCTTGACAAACTTCTCAGTGGTAAGGAAAGCGAAAGTAGATCTTGATTTTCCCGATCGAGCATCGGTGTCACATACACTTCCGTCTGCCGCCATAGCCGCCTGTTCGCCTGAAACATACTCTCGGACAGGGAAAAGGTGAACGAATATAACATCACAATCGCGACCGGCAAAAATCAAGTTACTGACCTTATCAGACTTGGTTTTCACATATTCCAGTTCCGCGAGACTGATACTATTTTGGCAAAAGATGGGACTTCAGATAATCAGGTTTACTCGCCCAAGCTGAATCTCGTATTTTTCCTATTCCAGGATGTGTATTTTTTCATGAAAAGTCGTATTCGCGTATTTTCGGCAAAAAATTTAACTAAAATACACGTAAAATCATACTGTTTGGCATCTCTGTAAAATTCATTATTTTTGTGCAAACGGGGAATCTATATTATACTATATATAAATAGTTACGGAGATATTTGACAATATAAGTTAAGCCACAAATTTTTTACCGCACTCTAGGTTGAATTGTAGTGGCGTCGGTGGCCAAGTGCTTAGGCTCTCAGACTCGCAACCGTAAGGCCTTGGGTTCGAATCCCGTCAAGGGCCCGACATTACAGTGTCCTTGGGAAAGGTGCTTTGCACAAATTTTCCTCCCTTCACCCAGGTGGAAATGGGTACCCGGCTTTAGACAGTGAACGATCTTGTCAGTTTGACAGTGTTTGAGCGCGTGAAATCCGCAGCTTGCACTATATGCTTCCATGGAAGCTGAGAATGTTTCTGAGTGTTTTCAGAGGGTCTGCTGGGGTAATAATAGACTTTGTAAAGCGCATAGAGCATGCTCTTGAGCATGGATATGCATCGCTATATAAATGATATTATTATTTATTATTGAATGCTCGCAACCAGATCACAGCCGTGAAAGACCAGCAGCCAGGTTTGCCCTTCATTGGGCATCATTTGGTTCTCGACAAGCAAGCCGGTTTTGACCTAAATTTACATATTGTCCTTTAAGAATATATCGTGTACAATAGAATAAGCAGAATCAATCTTAGAAAACCATTTATCAGGATGAAATGCACACCTGTGCTGCATGCTTGAGAGGCCTAAATTAAAGGTTTTTAACATGATGATGATGCCACCGGGTCCAAAGTATTCACCAACCATTATTAATATTATCATGTAGAAACTTTATGAGGCCTTAACATCGAAGTTTCAAATTTCATTTTTAGGACTAGAAATAAGAATGGTAGTACAATTACAGTTAGAGGCTATAATTAAATAAGGAAGAGGCTAGCCATAGGCTACTTAAAGACGGCTAGACTGGACGGCTAGACCAGCAGGCTAGCCGTACTTTTATATTTTGGCTAGACTGACAAACAGCAAAAAATAGCCCTTCTGAATTGTAAATATTTTCACTTTGCAATACCTAAAGTATTTGCATTTGGGACGAAACCAAAAGGTGCCTTACTGACAGTATTTTAAACCTGAATAATTACTAATGAGACGTGTGTACTCAACAGGTTTCTATAGGTTCTAAAAAGAACGGCTAGAATGTCAGGCTAGAGGGCTAGGCTAGCTGTAGTAATAATGACGGCTGAATTGTAAATAAAATTTTAGTTTGCACTACAAAGTATGACTCCTAAATAAACAAAGTATTCCAGACAAAACCAAAAGGTGCCTCACTGACATGTATTTTAAACCTGAACTGAATAATTATTTTACTAGATCTAGATTCTAGATCCAATGAGACCTGTGGACTCAATAGGTTTCGGTCAATAGGGCCTAACCTAGATCTAAGTACGGCTAGACTGGCACGTTGAGTAGACGGCTAAGCTAGCCGTAACTTGAGGACGATTAAATAAGTATAAAAAAGTGTAGTCTCATCATCAATTCTAATTCTAAACATCAAAGACCATGTAGCTTCATACTTCATGAATTCAAATCAAGTCTAATGATTTTCGTTATGGATAGCTCTATAATACGTTTAAGGCCTATTTCTAGACCTAGATATCTAGATCTAGATCTAGACTTTTGACTGAAACCCACTCCTGACACACACTGGCATGGGGGAGCATGGAGAGGGTCAGGAGTTCAATAATTTTTGCATCACAGTTCTGATTTTGAAAGTGAAAACACTCAACCCACATATCTACAAAGCCCGTTCAGGGATCGAGACATTAATAAAACTGGTCATGAGTGGAAAATGCATGGAACTACTAATTTCTTTATATGTCTACACTCATCAGTGGCTAACTCATCTGAAGCTTGGTGTAGATTTTAGGTCCAGGTTTTTATTTTTACCACTGAGTGAAATGTGTGTGCTGTTGACCACAGCAGACATAGGTCAGGGTTTGAATTTTCAACCCACATATCCATTAGACAGGCCAACCACTAATCATTTCCGAGGCTCGTGGGGCATAAAACATTTATGTGAAACCCTAGCGGGTCGATCGAAAGGTCGGGTCCTGTGATAAATATTTATTAAATGAGTCCAAATTGAAAAATTTGTCCTGTTTGCGCGATGGCCGATGATCAACATTGGTCTCGTTGGAAGCACAATCACGGTGCCAGAACAACACAAGCCGGAGCAAAACCCAGGACTCAATTACCTTCAATAGATGAACAATGGTTATTTTGCATTCAGTAAATCCAATGGCAGCATCCGAAACTGGAAAAGATGATTTTGAGACGAATATTTTGATGCTGATGTTGACAAAAGCTTTCTAATTAATCGATAAAATTCTTTCCTTTGTTTTTTAAAACTATAAGTGACAATACATACGAAACAAATGTTGTCGCATCTGATTAATACGGTCTGCCAGGAAAAAAGCTTGTGATTTTAATTATTCTAATCATATCATAAAATTTCTTGCAAACTAAAATTATTGTGCAATATATATTGTTAAAATTTGGACTTAATACAATACCCTACCTGGTTCTCATTGAATCGGGTTGAACATTTTAATATTCACGTTCTAGTAATAAGTTCGTCGTGAAAATAGCAAGTTTTTATATCAACAATGTTTTTATACCGTCGGTTTACTATACACAAGACTAGGCTAGGCTAGTTGGCTACAGAGCCGAAAGTCGAGTGTGGTTAGCCTGTGAATTAGGATTTTAGGTGATAATGAGCTTCAATTTCTTTGAGTTTCTCTCTTTGTATCAGATCCAGAAATAAGAAGGAAACTCATTATGTACACTTTATGGGAAATAATATAAAAATATTAATATCTGTTAGTTTCTCTCGTTGTATGTTTTATGAGACCCAGAAATAAGAAGGAAACATGTTATTTTGGCTTATACTTTGAGGGAAAGAATGTAAAAAATATGAATTTATTATTTGAATAAAGCGAGAGACAGACATGCAGGCGAACAGAATTGTAGAGAGGCAACATATAGAGATAGCAGAGAGAGAGAGAGCGATTGGGGGG